TGGGTCTGATCTTACCAATATGGCGTCCCGATAAACGACATCCGCCGGGCCAGAGTGGCTGTGATCTGAGCCGAGATCCCGAAATCAGCTGCTCCGCAAAAGGGAAAAAACACGTTTTATTAAAAAAGACCAAACAGACGCTGCAAACGGACGACTTTTGCCGTCTTTAGAGCATGAAAACCATCTAAAGAGATGCTCGGGGTTGAGTTTCTGGGCATGAACCAGCTGTGCTGTTTGACACCAGCAGCTCTACTCTCTGTGGTGGGTGACTCATGCTAACCACAGCGGTACAGTGCAGAGCACACGCTGCAAACAGCTTCTTACCCAGCTTGACCTCGCCCTGATCATTGAGGAGGATGTTGGCACCCTGGAAGGAAACGAGCAGAGACAAAAATCAGAGACACTCGTTTCTGTTCAGGCGGCTGCTCTCACCCACTCGGCTGTCTTTCAGCGGAGCCACACAGGAATAAAAAGGGCCTGAAAGGTTCATTTCATGTATTAAAACTTCTGTGGTGTTTTCCGCTGAAATGTCAGACTGAGGGGGGCACGCTGCTCTCTCAGAGGGGTTTGTTTTCCCCTGCCTCTGGGTTTGGCAGACCAGGTGAGGGTGGAGCCACAGAAAGAGCCCCGAACAGAGAGTTTACAGCTCCTAAATCTGCAGGACAAACTAGAATCAGCACCCCGGAGAGTTTGGCAGGAAACGCCGACTTTAACCTAAATCACAGATGCAGATTTACGGATAAGATAACAACTTATTTTCTGTTTTTTATAACATTATCCGGTTGAAAAAACAAATTAAAAAAACTTTCAGTTAAGAAACATCCTAATTTAAACCATATGGAAGAAACTGTTTGTCTAGTTTTAGTCTAGTTTAATTGAACACATTAACACAACTGTTTAGGGCCAATAAAAGGAGATGTTAAGTAAGTAAAGCTTAAAGGAGCATGCCATATAACATTAATTTTTATAAATTTTCCTACTTTTATCTTTAAAAAACTAACTGATTTAGATTATTTCTTCTCAAGGGAAACTTAAAAACACCCAAAATAACAGCCTTCTTTTGCCCTTTTTTCTCGCAGCAGAAGTAAAAAAGTTAATGATGAAAAAGAAAAAATGGATTCCACCTTTTATCCCTCGTGTAAAGAAACTTTTTAAACCTGTTTAAATTGTTTCCTCCGCACCCGATGGGCTGAAAAAAACTGCCTTGAGGATGAACTGCTAACTTCTGGCTGGTCAAGAGCTGGATTTCAGCTCAGGCCAAACTCAGATAAGCTTGTGCCCTCGTCACACCCCGGAGGAGGCCGGTAATCTGCCTCTGGGAGGAGTCCTCCGGCCCTCTTCAGGGGCCCAGACACCTCTGTCTGCTCTGCAATCTGCCTCGACCCAGATTCCCAGAGCTCCGTCTGCTGAGGTCGGCTAAAGAACGCCAGGAGGCTGAAGAACGACGTGCTGACCTTTATGTCTCGGTGGATTTTCTTCTGTGCGTGCAGGTAGTCCAGGCCCTGGTCGCACAAACGCACACAAACACACACAAACGCAGTCAACACCACAAAGCTGACAGCCGCAACCTACATTGAGGCTCTGCAGCTCTGATTGGCTGCTGTGAGTGCGGTTACCTGCAGCATCTCCCTGCAGATGTAGGCGATCTGTGGCTCAGACAGAGGACCCGTCACTGTAAGACAGCAGCAGGGTTAAGGGCCACGCTTCTACCACAAATTCAACTCAAGACCTGCTTGGACACGCGTTCAGGGCCGATCTGCGGCTCTCATCCGGATCATAATAAATTATTCCTACTGATAACGAATGATACTGTCAGAAACACCCCCCAGGGGCTGCAGTCTTCCGCTAACATTTAGGATTTAGCTGATCTTTATGTGGCCAATAACAGCTAACGCTGGAAAAAGGGCAAATTCTGAACAGCTAAAACATAGAAATGACTAAAGAGTCGGCTGTCTGAATCAACAGGCTTCGGTTCGGCCTCTTAAAGAGCAGAAAACTGCCTGTAAAGCACCTTTGGGATCTTTATTATGGGATCACATTTCAGTTATGGAGTATTTTCACACTTAAACAGATTTTTTTTTAGAATACCGGATCGATGCACCGTTATTCTTTGGAATAAAAAGAGATGAAGACAAACGATGAGCTCATGCGCTCTGTCTCACCCACCGTGGTAGATGTCCTGAAGGGAGCCCCCCCCACAGAACTCCATACAGATCCACAGTTTGTTTGCTCTGCGTGAACAGGAGAACACGTTTAACCTCATGATGCTCAACCCACCCGACCCACGATTCAGTGGAGAACAAAATAACCACTGACATGCTCGTTTGGCTCTTTAACAAAATGACGAAAGCAAAAAAATAAAAAAAAATAAATAAAATAAAAAAATATATATATATTTATATATTTATAATTTCATTTAAAAAAAAAAGAAATATAAATAATATCTGCACATTTCTGCTATAAAATAAATGAAGACTGACATGCTTGTTTGGCTCTTTAACAAAATGACGAAAGCAAAAAACAAACAAAAAAATATATTTATAATTTCATTTAAAAAAAAGAAATATAATTAATACCTGCAAATTTCTGCTATAAAATAAATAAAGAGTGACGTGCTCATTTGGCTCTTTAACAAAATGACGAAAGCAAAAAACAAACAAAAAAATATATTTATAATTTCATTTAAAAAAAAGAACTATAATTAATACCTGCAAATTTCTGCTATAAAATAAATAAAGACTGACGTGCTTGTTTGGCTCTTTAACAAAATGTCGAAATAAAACACAAAACAAAAAAACAAACAAATATAATTACAAAAATAAAAAAAGAAATGTAACTAATATCTGCACATTTCTGCAATAAAATTAAATGTAAAAAAAAAATCAAAATATTGTGCAAATTTTTCCCCCAAAAAGTTTCGACTTATCTTTGACTTAGAAATCCATGTATCAAATGTAGTAAATATGTAATTAAAGGTTAAACATCAGCAGACGGACTCACCGTATGTAGCTGCCATAATATGCCACTATGTTGGGATGCGTGCAGCTCTTCACGATGACGATTTCCTGCTGGATAATGGAGAAGTCGTCCTCTGAGGGCCACACAGAAAAGCACACAGCATCAGGGCGCTGCCTGGCTGGACGGAGGAGCCCCCTGCTGTGGGACTCAGTAAAATGAGGGCGGCTGCTGTTTGGAACCAGTTCTCTTTAGTCAAACTGGGAGAAAAAGTGAGGAACCTTAGTTCCCTTTTCGTGTTTTTTGGGGTGTTCAGTAGCCTGACTTTATCAGCTTGAATGAGGCTCTGAGGACGCTTTTCGAGGCCGTCTGAATCCAAAATAATTACCCCAAAAAACAGACAATAATCAAAATCAAAATGTTATGCGAGAAGGATTCAATTAGCTAAAAAACAAATGCTTTATCCTAAAATAATTCAATATAATGCAAAATAAATACATTTCTGCTTTCACCCTAAGTGACATTCATTTAAACTCATTTGGATTTTTCTATTAATTTATTTTGTAACTAAGAATTGGGATTAATTCTTTTTTTAAATCAAATTCTTATCCCCATATACATTTATGTTCTCTTCTCCCTGGCATTGTATTTTTTCCCTTCAAATAATTAATTTAGCTTCAGCACAATTGTATTTATTTGATGTTTTCTCAGTCTTTTTTTATTCTTTCTATGCCCATTTTTCCCCATCCTTTCTTTACAGCCTTTCCTATAAATTTCTTTATATAAATTCTTGTTACTAATTTCACACATTCATAATAATATTTTGGATTTATTAAGGCTGAAAATCTGTCATTTTACTGGCTGGGAGCAATCAAACACTAATCTGAGAAGGTGATGTTGGTTTATGGGGGCAGAGGAGAGACTCTAATGCCACTAAAGGGTTTCCTCCATGACCACAAAGCGACTATACAGAACAATCAGAAGCTGTTTAACAGGAAGAGCCTGAACATGAAGGTTTTAATGTGTCAAAGGGGCTTCGATGAGTTTATCTTAGACTTTATAGAGCATTTTGATGTATTTCAAATATCTTTAACTAAAGTTAATACACATAAGATTTTTTTTTAAATCACAGGACAGAATGGATCAGTCTAAATAAAGCTAGAAAACAGAAACCTGTGTAATTTGAAGAAATCAGGATTCCCTCTTAAACAGCAGCAGCAGTTTTTTTAGTTGTGTCTTATCACTTTATCACTAGTCACTTATAATTTTTTATTTCTCTGTTATTACTTATGTGTTGTATTTGTATGTAAATGTATGTAAATGCCACTATAATTTAACACTGGTCACTTTAAACAGTCGTTCACTACTTTAGCTGCGTTTAATTATTCATTTTCACCCTGAAATACAAGTGTCTCACAGAAGTTTCCTTCCAGATAAATAAAGCTTTTTGAATCTTGAATTGAATTTGAATGTTTGATTTCTGCCTTTTTGAGGTAAATGCTGGCTCAGCTGCTTGATGCTTTGCATGGCAGCTGGTATTTCATGCCCCCCCCTCCGCCTGACCCTAAACTGGAAGTTATCAGAACAGAAAATGGGCGGTAGCTCGTATTTGCACTGCGTAAAAACCAACACAACATTTTCTGGCCTTTTAAAGGACGCCGACAGAACATCTGAGCAACGGTGGGCCTCTGATTTAGAGCCAGAGTCGGCTGAGGAGGGGCCTGTTTTCACCTGGCTCCATCTTGATGACTTTGATAGCTGCCAGCTCTCCATTCTGCTTGTTTCGTGCCTGCGGAGACAACAGAAAAGCGCGTTATCTCTTCTTTATCCGGCGCTCGACGCGGCTTTTCTGGCAGCTTTCAGACGCTTCAGCCGTCTGGTGAGCCGGCAGAACCTCGTTTGCATATTTGCAGTCCAGATCAGTGGAGTGCAAGAAGCAACCCACCGCATCAGTCTGAGGCTCACACACACACACACACACACACACACACACACACACCGTGACCTTTAAACGTGTTGTAGCAAGGCTGGTGTTACTTCTGTTAACTTCCTCGTACTTCTTGTTAACAGAAACCCCAAAGGAAGCTTTCTTTAAACCAATTAATGCAAATGCAGAATTATTATTTTATATCCAAAACGCACTGAAGTAAAAAAAACAACAACAACAAACAAACCACAATTTGAAAAAAAAGCGTTTTTTTATCAGATGGTGAAAGTTAACAGAGCAACACGCTGCGTTTAAATAAAAAAAGCTCAGATATCTTTTCTTTAGTGAAATCCAACCGCTCAAACTGTCCACCATGAAGTCAGTCGGCCATGTTGAGGAGCTCTTATTTCTCATGGCGCCGGGGGGGGGCCCTCAGCCGACCTCTAAGCTGCTGGTTCAAGCTCAACGTCTGAAACTTCAGCCGCTCGGTCCGAACCAACTCGGCTTTCAGGAGCCAAAATAAACATTTTTGTGGATATTGATAAATTATGTGTAAAATCGTGCTCACGATCAACCTGCTCAGGCTGTTTTTATTCATTCTACACAAGTTTTCTAACAAAACCGATCATAAAAAGCATGTCGATGTCTTTAATCTATTTGAAAATGTTCAGATTTATTTAAGAAAATGCAGAAAAAATTAACAAGTAATGCTTTACAAAATATACCAGACGTTTCTTTATGTCTTTTTGATAAATGAAAACACATTTAAACGTAAATATGATCATAATAATAATAGTGGTATGCAATAATAATCATAATAAGAGGCAGCCGGTCAGCGGGTTTCAGACCGTCGCCATGGGGGGGGCAAAAAGCCAACCGTCCGTCCAGCTAGAAAAGTTCAGCGAGCTTGAAAACTGAACTTTTGACCACTACGACTAAGAATCTACACAGATTTCCATCCATCCGTTTTCTGAACCATCAAATGGGGATGCGGGGGGGGACTGGAGAGGCTTTAAATCAAATGAAAGTATAGATTTTAAAGCGTCACATTGCATTGGTTGGAAAACAACCCCCGACTCCCCCCCCCCCCCACCCCCTAATGTAATGGAAGCTGCTAGTCGTAAACAGTGGAAAGAAGGGGCGTTGTGGTCGTAGCGGGGGGGTGGTCTCAAACTACGCACCACTGTGGTTGCATTACGCTCTTTCCTGTTTTTTTATTTTTGTCTGAATTAACAGAGACAACAAACAACAATCCCAGCCGCTGACCGTCCGGAGGTTTTCTGCCCCTCAAAACCGACAGAAAAAAGCTCGCAGAATCGACTCGCGACACATTTCAGAGGCATCATTTAACAGCGTCTGGAGGGAAAAGCAGAAGCGAGTCCTCCCACGCCGACACCAGAGAACTGGTCATGGTTTTATGTGCGACTCTTTCTGCCTCTCAGCGGCTCTCTGTTGCCCCCCCCCCCCCCTCCCCGGTTCCAGCTCCAGCTGTGGGGCAGATGGCCTCACATCTGACTCTGAGCTCTTTGGGATCCAGGTCAGCTCAAGGTGGACTTTAAGGTCCTGATGCTGCAGATGCAGCCCCGATCATCATCCCTCCCCCGCCGTGCTGCCAGCTGCTCTGAGCTGTTTGTTTTTCTGGGACTCAAACATCTCCACTCTGCTCAGCTCTTTGTTCCAGAGGTCTTTGCTCAGATTCTGCCGAGAAGCCGAACAAACAGGCCAAACCTGTTCGGCCTTTATCCATAAACTTTGCCAACATAAACTTTTACATTTAACCTTCCCACTGAGGCGTCCACTCCTCTAAAACAAAGCGCTTCTGTTTGATGTTCGCTGACAGGTTTCTTTACTTCTGCAGCTTTTTATAAACCGTCACCACAACAATAAGGTCAACCGGATTTAAACTTTAAGAACTCGATTTAATTAAACTCGAGACGACGTCTGAACTTTTACAACTTGAATAAAAAACTGAACTGATGCTTATTTGTCATTTGATTTCTGTAGTTTTACAGACTAAATGTGAGAGTAGATGTTAAAGTCGTGTTATCATGCATCTCACATCCATTCAAGTCTTAGTTTTGATCATCAGTTTTTGCTGCATCACTGCAGACAACACAAACATCTACTGTTTAACTCCACATTGTGTTCAAAGTGTTCAAAGAAATAAATGAAAACCAGCTGGTGTGAGCATGTTTAGACCAGAGCTTACAAAAGACTTCAGTGTCATCTGGAGGATGTTCTGACGTGTTTCTGGGAAAGGTTTCATCATGTTTTGCTTTGTCGCGCATCTCTGCGCGTCTTACACAACAATTCTGCTCAGACATGACGCCTCAGAGCCGGAATCTGTGAAGAGATTCAGCCTCTCTGTTTCACGTCTGATGCAGAGACCAAAAACCCTTGAAGATGATTGAAGCAACGTTGGAAACTCCACAATCTGAAGAGAAGTGAGAGAGGTCACCAAGAGGAAAGAGGCCAAGCACACAGCAGAGTAAGCTTCAGAGAGCAGAGCCCCCCCACCCTGACGGTGTTTCCTTTCACTGATCTTTGTGATGACACCTTCAGGTCTGAAGAGTCTTACAGAGACAAAAAAAAGAGACACAGAAGAGGTGAAGCCTGCTTACTTCTGCTCACTGAGATGGGACCCACTCACATGAAAGGTCAGAAAACAAGTAGAGCAACAAGATCCTGAAAGGTTTTTTAAACTAGAATAAAAAAAATCTAATTTCAGGAAACAACCTGATTTTCTTTTTAAAAGAACTCTGAAAAGTCGCATTATCTGAATTCCATGTAAGTAGAAACGGGGACGGGGTACAAACACCCTGAACCGATAAGGACCATCGTCTGTGCAGCTGAGCGCACGTTTCTCTTTGTGGTCTGATTTGTTGCTCTGATTTTTTTTAACCTTCAAGATTTCCTGCACGTTTAACCAAAGGGGACTCAGAGAAGATGAACATTATTTAAGCTTTTCTTTAAGCTTTCGGTCTGATCTCCAGACTAATTCTGGCTCTGTGCAGATCCTGTCCCCATAAAACATTAACACACGATCTAATCCGATGTGCATTTCTGAGATTTTCCTTAGAAAAAAACACCTCCATTGCCTCATAACTGTATAACTGTCCATTTGAAACTAACACATGTTTCATATGTGATAATACTGGTTTCCAATCCAATATAAAACAAAAATTCACAGCACCACCAACACATTTTGTTTCTAGATGTTTGGCCTGTTTCAAAAACAAAATGAAATAGAAATGGAGCATAAAGATGATCAGTGAGACAAATCCTAAGCTGAAGTGGACTGTAGAAAGATCTCAGGCCTTTGTTTTCAGGGTCCATCCACCAGAGTGTTATCGCCTTCATCTTCACAACGAATGTAGATCGTGCTAAAAAAGCAGAATTTTGGGTTATTCCACTTTAAGGAATAATCCATAAAAACAATATAGATACACAAATAAATGCATCTAAATATGTCGGCACGATCAAAGTGAGAAACTTTCCTAATAGGGAGCGAAACCACAGCAAGTCTTTATCAGCTGCTGATTAAATCAACATTTAATCAACATTCAAAATGTAATATTTGGGTAAAAGATGGAAGTTTTGATCGTTCAGGGATCCAAATTAGATTTCAGCTTGTGAATTTGTGGATTTTTCACCTTAAGGTTAAAGCTAATGGTCTTAATGTCCTCTGTTTATCTTCCTCTGAGTATTTAAACCTTTTAGTGAATAAATGAGCATGAAAAGTGGAGGGAAAACCAATAAGAACATGCAGCAATTTCTGTGTCATCCTTTTCTTTTTAGCAGCAGGTGGTCTGAAAGGAAAACCTTTCATCAGCCAGTGTGCTGAATGAGAAGAGCAGGAGGAGGAGCAGCACTTTAAAGTCTCCGTTTAAAGCCAGACGTTTAGGTTGAAAGCTAATGGAAGTCAGAGAACAGGTGTTATTAGCTAAATTAGTCTGGACTTTCACAGCATTTGCAGGATGACAGACGGTGAGCTTTGGTCCTGAGGCAGAGAGAAACTGTCTGTATTTTGCATTAAGTATTTAGCATGTGGGATTCGGTCATCTGGTAAAGCACGTATGAGCCCAAGAAAAGGCCTCGTCCTCCTGACCTCCAGCTCCCAAAGTCGATAAACCAGCACCACAGCACCGTTTTTGGAACTGTGGTTGCTGAAAATGAAAGTATTTCCTCTTTTTTTCCATCCGCCTGTTGCAGCATTTGCAGGCAATTTGAGGTCTGTGATTACAAAACATTTCCGTCTGTCCTCTCTGACACAGCGGGAGCTGCCTGGGAGCTTTGGCTTCGGGTGGGTCGCTGAGCAGCTGAAGCTGCCATTTGACTGCCATTTGTTTGAAGCTCTCAGCATCCAAACAGCCTTCCTCTTTTCTGAGTCAAAGTCAAATCCGCTCCCGCCAAATTTCCCCTCGCCGGCCGCTGTAAGGCACACGTGTGCACGCACAGAGAGAAAAAACCACAGCGTTTCAGCAGCTCTGCAGATCTCCTCTGCTCACTTCTTCATTTCACATCGGAGGCTGCGCTCCATCCAGGTGCAGCTTTCACCAGCCACATCACACAGAAGAATCACGCCTTTACTGTGAGAGAAGGAAGATCCTGACACGTTCAGAGGCTCAGATCACTGAGCCGGTAGCCAAACCTGAGTCAGGCCCACGGTCAAAAACAACTACTACACCGGAAACAGACCGCACGACAAGATACGCCAAACGGCCCCTCAGATAAAGGGTTTAGTCTGAATATGCGAGGCAGAGAAAGACTGAGTCAATAGAGTGCAGGAAGTGACCTCTTAACTCGTAAAACAAATCAGATCTCCGCTGACTGAGACCTCGATTCTGTTTTAAGGGGCAAAAAAAATGTCCAAAAGGCTCCGAGACAGCAGATTTCTAAAAGATAAGACTCTTCATTTTTAGAACTACAAACGCTGCGGAGTGAAATCTGACCTCATTTTGTACTTGGCTCATTGTGAGCCAAACAGATATTTTCCAGTTTAAGACCGCAAACAGGATCAGACGGATTCAAGTGACTCCCTAAGAATAAAACTAGCTGGTT